AGAATCTTCAATACAATTTTTAAATCGATTCACTAAAGCGTTCACAAGTTATAAGGATTTTAATTTGCACCGAATTAACATGTGTTCTTATGGGAAACGTATAACCACGTCGATTCAAATGACAAAAACACATGGAAATAATATTCAGAATTTGTTTAAAATTTGCAAAAGTTTAGATATAGAGAAAATATTTGGTCAAATAATATTATACAAGTACTAACTGGTTAAAAAGATATTAAATATAATTCAATGAAGTTAGCCATGTATCTGTCACAAGGCGAAATTCTCTGACAAAAGTTAATCATTTCGATTAACAAAATTCAGAATATTTCAGTAAAAACGCAATAAATATTGAAAAATACATCTCTGCACTGTAGCTAAGATCAAATTATAATATATAAATTTAACTAAATAATTAGGCAATATTAAGCCAACGCAAATGTAAGGCGTGAAGTAATAAAAAACTACTTCCACAATCCACACTTTATTGATGATCATACGTTTCGGACTCCTTTCGAGCCTTCGTCAGTGAAATACTGTAAAAAAGGAATAAAAACAGTATAAATACAATGTATAAAAGGAAATTAAGAAGTCACTGTTAATATATATACAAGTCAAACAGTTCGACATTACGCGACCATCTCATTTTTTATTACTTCACGCCTTACATCTACGTTGGCTCGATATTGCCTAATTATTTAGTTAAATTTATATATTTTAGACCTGAGCCGTCAAGTTAGTTAATTTATTCAAATTATAATATTCCACATAATTTCTCAAAATACACCAAAAGTGGATATTCATTAATATTGATTTTCAGCTACTTTTTGCTGGGATTGTACATACAAAACATCCTTAATTCCTTGTACGAAAAATAATTTATTTTCATCAAACAGATGTAAAAGTGCATTAGAATGTATCGGATTTAAATTGCGATTGGAACATGGGATTCAAACATGCGGGAAAATTAGATTGATGCGTATTGAAATGATACGAGCTATCGCATCTCGTTAAATTGAATTCGCATTCCTTTTGAATCGAGTTAAAGGCCGAAATGCCGGCCCTCACAAACGTACGAAGGGACAAAAGGAAAGGAAATTGAGGAAATCGGGCAGATTGCGAGGACTTGGAGGGGTGGTCAATGGCGTTAACTCATAATTAAATTAGCTCGAGCTCATTGTACGAACACGGATGGACTCTTGTAACTCGTTCGTTCCAAACTTCGGCCATCCCGAACGTTCCTCCGTGGGAGCTCGAATTTCTTGTCGTCCGAATAAAACAGACTCGTCGAAATTGTTCGCGGTTTTTCGCCAAATTTAATAAAGAAACTTGCTACGGGACCTTACGCTGCGCGAACGAACTTTTATCCGTTATACACCTTGCGTATCGCGAGGGAACGCATTCACCTTATGTACGTAAGACATAACGCGATAAGTGGAAGTTTACAATTTTTGAATAAAACGAAAATGGGAGAAAATTTGGGCGAAAGACGCGTTCGTTAATATCGGAGCAAAAATACGGGCGAACGTTTCGTAATTTCGTTAACTATTGAAGATTGCATTTCGCAGCTTGCCAAAGAGCGGTACAACGAAATCTCTTGCTTGCCATTTTATCATTATTATGACAGTTACAAGCGAGCATTGGTACGAAGGAAACGCCGCGATTAAACTCCCGGATAACTTCCCGCCCGGGATTTGACATTCCCGCAGTCGTTCACCGACTACAACGTGTATAATTGATTATAGCTCGTGGAAAGTTCCATTTTCCGTTCATTTTGTCCCTTCGTTCCGGGAATGGAAGCGATATGAATATATTGTCCGACGACCAGGGCTGATTGCGAGGCGACCGGGGAGGAAGGAGGGGGGGGGGGAACGAAGAATTCGCGATATAAGTCGCGGATAAAGTTCTTCCGAGAGTCGCGCCCCTAAGGGACAACCATCCCCCGGGAAGCAGTATCGCTGAGAAGAGAAAACGAGAGGGCCGGATTATTCGCTTCTCGGCTACGTCGCTCGAGATTCAATATTTGCCACGTCAGCCGCGAGCCTCGCCTTCGTCGCGCGTAATCACAGCCTAATCAAGAACGGCGAGATTCGATTATATACTCGCCGAGTTGCCGGCAATGGAGCGTAACTAGCGTATGATAGCAACGAGGCCCGAGCCGAGGAAACGAGCCGTCCCGATTCGACGCGGTGGATGGCCCGTCGACGACGGCCAATTATACCGGGCGTCCTCGAACGTGTATTCCAGCCGGGACGAATAAACTCCCGGATCCGTACAAAAGCTGATAATGATATAATTCGTTAGCTGCTTTCTAAGCGACTCGGTTTTATCTCGAGACGAGCGAGCACGGGCTGCCTGTCGCGAATTCGGAGCGATGAGAGGAGGCGAGACCCGGGCTCATCCTTGCGCGCGCATGAACGAGCAAGGTAATTGCGAATTACGTTTTTAATCTCAAAAATCCTCTCTCTCTCTCTTTCTCTCTCATCCGTGCGGAATATTCGCGCGTTGCTACCTCGATAACCACCGCAATAATTCGGACACTTTATTGAACGGTGCGGTCGATTCCCGTTGATTGCGCGCGATTCTCGCGCAATAATAAATTAAACGAGGTATCTGTGTACTTTGCGGAAAAATTATTTCCCCGTCATCGATTCCAGAAGTCGTCGCGGACCGATAAACAATTATTAATTCTCGCAACTCCCCGAGGTGTGCCCGCGACAATGATACTTTCTTCTCGCTTTTGAAAAGTTTATCGCTAAAGCTTATTCGCGGTTGGAACACTTAACTCGATTTATCTCGAGATGAGTATAAATATTTGCGGCATTTTTGTCGCGATCGATTTCCTACATCTTTCTTCCTTTTTCTCGAAGTAATACGTTTTAACATCCGCTTAATTAACGATACTAAAAAATATAAAAATGAAAGTTTAATATATACGTCAGCTTTCGCTCTGGAATTATTAAATTAGTAGCATAAAAATTTTCTTACGTAAAATTACGTAAAATCTTCTTGCTTATAAAAAAGAGCAAATTGTAAAATAATAAGACAATAATGAAGAATAATAAAAAAATAATTGTACTTCATATTCAACGAGTCTCTAAAAACGTATCTTGTTTTTTGTTTTTTTGTTTTCTCTCAAAAAAGAAGAACTTCGTTATCGAAGAATATCGTTATTCTGCTCATTTATCGTCTTAGTGACTCGGTTTATTTATCATCTTAGTGACGCATCGTGACGTATAGTGATGCATTCGGGCAAATTTAATTGGATGAGGCAAATCAGTCCTGTTTGCGAGAAGAAGCGCATTATTGCGATTTGTGCGTCATTCTCCTTTGTGCTGCTACAAGTCGCGCGCCATCATTGCGGCATTACAATGAAAACGTCTTCTCGGTACGAGGAACGACAAAGGAATTTTCTTATTTTCCTAGTTTATGTGTACGAGAGACGTGCAGAGAGAAACGGGGAAAAACGCGGTATTGTTGATGTGAGAGTTACCGTTAAATGTCAAGCGACAAGGAGCAGGGCGGTTAATGAATGACTCGGCTACCTCTGTAAACGGCAACAAGCGCGCTCGTTACGTCTTTTGCTAATTGCGATTTTAGCCTTCGTAAGCGCTCTTTCTTTCCGCGATCCATCGTAGAATAATTTACGGGCATCCAAGCCCGTAAATGGATTTTGCGTCGGCCAAATTTTATTTATCAACGCGCGTTTAATTAAAATCCCGCGGACTTTGCGGATTTTTTTCGTTTACCAGGTGTATATTCGTGAACACTTATTATTTAAACGGGAAACTATTACGCGTTGCGGATCTCATTTTCGCACACATCAACAGTTTAGTATAATACGATACGAATATTCATAATGTAATGATAATATTATAATATTAGGATTATAGTTATTATTACTGTTATCACTACAATTATAATCATAATAATTATACAGGATTATTCTTGTGATATTTAAAGTTACATATTGCGTGTTGCACGAACGAATAAATATTATATATATATCTCCGTTTCTATTGTCGATTTGAACTCACCTACCCTTTGATTATTTTTGCTCGGAAAGTAGTGCTTTTGAATAATAAAATACATGATGCAAAGAGAGCTTGCAGAAAAATCGTTTAATTGTTCCAACAAGACGTATATGATTGAAGGCATTTTGGTTAAATCAAACAAGAATTTCTAGTTATCATGATAAGATTCAATTTTTTATAATTAGAACGTTTAATAAATTTTACTATAAGGATTTGGTTAGTATTTTCTGGTTGGATCTATTAAATTTTTTGTTACATTAATTTCTTTGCTTGCTTCTTAACTTAACTCGTATTCAACATTTGCCATAAAATGTATATAAAGAACTAGTATTAACATTAAATCCATAGTATATTTTTAGTAGTGCCAGAAAGAGGACGCTAGCTCTCTGATTGTGTGTGTTTGAGCTGCATTCTCTTCTTGCATCACTGTTTATCAGTTTAATTTCTAACAAACTGAATTTAAAATAATTTATTCAATAATCTGGATTGAATTTATTCAATAATCTTGTTAGAATTCAGAATATTAAACAGACTTTTGAAATTAGATGAAAAAAATTTTAGACGACTTTTTATTAACCAGAAAATTTGGTAAATTTAACAGGAAGAAATTAATCAGATTCATCTGCTAATTTCTACAAGAATTCTGGTTCGTCCATTTTCCAACAGAACTGGTTGAATCTACCAGAATTCTAATTAATGCAACCAGATTTTTTTCAGTGTGAAATTCGCGAAATGTCGTCATTTTTTAAATTCCTGTTTGTTTATGCGAAAAAGTAATAATTTTAAAAACTTTCGCTTTATTCGCTGGAAAATCTCGGCGTCGTGTATCGTGAATTCGTCGATATTCAACGTGCGAGAACGATGGACGAGGGTGCGGAATACCTCTCCCCTTCCCTCCCCAAATACTTAGCATCGAAATTGCCGCATTTGCACAGCGTTTCTTATTCCGGATTGCTCGTGTTTCAGAAGTGCACTGCCACAATATGCCGCAAGGCGGTAGCGGCAAGAGCGGCGACACGTACAACCAGAACGCTCTGGAGGAGAACGCACGGACGACGGGGCCGTACTTCGACAAATCAGCCTCGAAGAACGTGACCGCGCTCCTGGGAAAGACGACGTACCTCAATTGCCGTGTCAAAAATTTGGGGAACAAAACGGTGAGTGACACGAATCCGTCGTATCTGTAAAAGAAAAGCGATGTTACATCTCTCTTTGTTGCCAATACGTTCCTTTTATTTACTTACAAGACCATCATCGTGCGATGTTCTCTAAAATTATTTCTGACATGATAAGACGTATAGAATGCGAGAGATATATTATAATATAAATATTATAATAAAAATATATTATAATAAAAATATTATAACTATAAGATATAACTATAAAAATATAGCGATGAGAAAGATCTTATTTTCTGCGCGTCGAGAGGATACAAAATCTTTTCTAAAAGGAAATTTTATAATTTTTAAGAATCCCAACGTTATTATTCGCGAGATTATTCTTCTCCTGAAATTTTTACGGAAAGAAAAACATGGAGAAAGTTTCGAATAGACGCGGCTCCCGCGTCTTTAATTAGGAGGGACGAATTTGGCTTGCGCTTTTTGTCGTCCGACAATTCGAAGACGGCAAAACGAAGCCAGGTCACGACACGTTACCGAGTCATGGGATTAATTTACGGCAATTTACGGGTGTATACTTAAATCCAACGACGCGGTATAGGTCTCTCAGATAAAGTCTCTCGCGCGATAAAGTCTCGCTAATGGCGAGCTACTAAAGGACGAGGGAGGATTACGCAACGAGAAACGCAGGGACGACGCCTACGTCAACACGAAAACGGATACTACGCCTTTTCTCGGCCCCGCTAAATGAATGAATGGTGGAATATATAGAATGTCAATATTTTATTGACACACCACGAAGCGTCACGCCTTTCCTCGGGTAAACTGCGGGCGGTATCACGCCGGAAGTGCACTCGGACACCGGATCTCTCGACGACAATGTCATTGAAGAAAGTGCGGGCGCCTTCGATCAGCTCCAGACTCCAAACTCTACGCGAGATAAATGGAATTTTGGAGCGCGATATTAATTTCCGATAAATTTGGATCGATTTTACATTTTGGTTTTCGGTTTTTTCCATCAGAGAGAATAAAAAATTAACAAAATCATGTGTCTCGGGTTTTATACGATTTTTCTCGAGAAGACTTTTGTTTTAAAAATATAATATAATATAATATAATATAATATAATATAATATAATATAATAAGAAATATAATATAATATAATATAATATAATATAATATAATATAATATAATATAATATAATAAGAAATATAATATAATGTAATATAATATAATATAATATAATATAATATAATATAATATAATATAATATAATATAATAAAAAATATAATATAATATAATATAATATAATAAGAAATATCTTATATCCCGTTTGATGCTGCGTACATATCTTGAGCGAATATATAATATGTATATGTATATGTTGGAAACAGGATGTGATACGGACGAATACATCGCCAAGGATTAGATATAACTCACGGGTAAAAGCGAGGGAAAAATTGGTCCAGTCATAATTCACGTTAGCCGTATTTTACGTGTCTTTTTGCTCGAGTCTCGCGGGAGCGATTAGATAGCTTGGATTATTCACAATGACTTTTCACCGATTCATAGTTACCGAGACGTATCAAAGAGTTAGTTTACTGTTAAGTCGTATAATCTTCTCGCGCGCCCAATCGCGTCATTCGTCATTCTGTCTCTTGCAGATATCAGAGATCAGTTATCCGTAATTGATTACCGTAATCACATTATAAATTTATAATCACGTCTCGATAAATCAGAAACTTTGGAAACATACGCTTAAAAAGGATAAGAGATTAATGTCGTATTTTACTGAAAATTTGAAGCACAAAAGAATCTTTTAGTAGTTTCACTCGCATTGTATTTCGTATAGGATCCATTAAGGTTTTATAAAGCTTTGAACGCGCGATCAATCGCATTTTCCATATCTCGTAAAAAATGAAAGATACTTAAGCAACTCTGAGGCATAATACTTTGTAACAATTGAATTGGTAATGCACGTCAGTTTATACAGCGATGCAGCTGCTTAGTCGCTACAGGGGATGAGGGAGCGTATAATTCGGTATTGGAATCGACCGACTTTCCGAATACGTCGTCCGGATTTATCGTTCTTGTGCGAAATTCGCGGAGAATCATAGCAACGCGGACCAGATTTATTGGACGAAGCGTACGTCCGCCACGACGAAGTAGAGATGCATCGCGAAAGCGATGCGGGGGAAGGAGACGTGTTTTACTTAATCTATGAATCGCAAGCAAAACGTGGACTTCGACGTTCAAAAAGAGGCCCGGACTCATTCATATGTATGACGCGTAACCCAGTTTGAATTCAATTCTAGTCGAGAGGCATTTGTGTGGCGTTTGCCTCGAAACTTGCGCAAGCTCTCTTCCGGTGATTATCGAGCACCATCGCGAGTGCCATCAAAAATTTCCAATCAGCATCGAGAGTTGACGTAATTAATCTCAAGACGCGTAACAAGAATAATATTTATTTATATACTCTTTTCGAGAGAGAACAATATTTATCCATTTCGATGATATATTCTACGCTGTAAAAAAAGTATGTAAAATTACACATATAATCAAGTGTAACAATTACGCTATTTATAACGGAAATATACAAATTCATGTACTTTTACAAAAATTAGTTTTTTTACTCTCTCTTTATTGTGTAAATATTCGTTTATATTTGATGAGAAATGTTACACAAGGTTAAAAGTATAATTTTTGGATTTTATGTAAATGTACAATTTTTTGTAACATTTATATAAAATTAAAAATTACACGAATACTTACACTTAATAAACGAATATTTACACAATAAAGAGTAAAATAACTAATTTTTGTATATAAATTTATATATTTTCGTTATAAATAGCGTAATTGTTACACTAATTATGTATGCAATTTTAAATTAAATTTAATATGTGAAATTGTATAAATACATATACAAAATGTATTATTACATAAACATTTCTAGAAATCTACTTCTTCATGTACATTTATCAATACAAGATGCTTACTTACCATTTAAGATAATAATTTTATCTATGAAATGTAAATTTACTAATATATATAAATATACACCTTTAATAGTTGGTCTCAATATTATCCACTGTAATAGTTGTAAATTTACACAAAAATTTTTTACAGTGTAATCGAATTCTTTTCATGAATAAGCGAAGTAGCGTATTTTGATAATTCAAAGAAAATTAATAATATTTTAAAGAATAAAGAAAATTGTAATACTTTTCTCAAATTGATTACAATGAAATGTTTTAATGTCAAGAGCTTAAGCGAATAATGTTAGATTTTATTTCTTATAGGATTATATTTAATATGGAAATTCGTGTGTTTTCCAAGGGATCTCGTACATCAGGCGATATCGATATTACGCGTGTTTGTTTTATCGATCAACTTAGCCCACTACTAAAGTGTGTGTGGCGACTGGGTATTTGATTTCTAAATCGTGTTTACTGTCATCGGGCGTTCGCCAGAAACTCATCGATGGCTTACGATTGGAGTGTATAGGAAATTTCGAGTCGAATCGAAACCGCGTAGGAAGCTGTACTTGGCTAAACCTTAATTAAATTCAACGCTTAAATGTCTAGTTGGAGGGAGCACAATCGAAGCGATCGCAAGCGGATAGATGGAGAAACTCGCCGGCGCTTCCCACGCTCGTTCGTCTCCTCGCAAGTTGAATTAAAATAAATAACTCGACCGTTCGATAAAGACGCACTCGGAGGAAACTGTAATATAACTTGCGCGCAAAGAAAGAAAGGGAAGCGGAGAGTTTCGGGTTCATCGCGGTGGATCCTTACGGCGCTCCTTGGAGAACGGAGTAAAATAAATGCCCGAGGAGAATTTCTTTTCTCTTCATTGCAATGAACATCGATTTGATATAGAAGGAATGATTATCGCGCGCGGTTGATTTACATTAATTCAAGATCAAAGCTTTCGAACCGAAGTGCTCTCCGGCCGATGTAAAAGAGATCTTTCCTTTTAAAATCCGAAGAAACGAGCGCGGGACATTGTTAAGTATAAAGAGGCGAATTCCTTTGTAACACCGCGAGAGCCTTATAAAAGAGAGCGGATAAAAGACGATAATCGTCATTTCATCGATTGCGATACGTGGCTACCGAGTTCCGTTCGATGACCATCAGCCGGTCCCTTCCGGGGAAATACGACTTAACTCCTTGTGCTCCAATTACTGAAACCGAGTTCGATCCCTCATCATGCATATCGATGAAAGGAGATATCTCTCTTCTTAATTGCTGGCGAAGGCGGGGTTCAAGGCTTCGCTGGATAGATGATACTTGAGGAAAGGCTCCGTTACAGCTAACGTTTAATCAACAAAGAACTTTGCCGATCGATTCCATTATATGATTCCGTCTTTCACTTTCTTGCGCGGTCAGTCCAGTTCTTCTTTCTTTTTTCCTCCTCACAAAACTCTTTTATATTATTATAAATTACATATATGAATTATAAATTTCTACACTGAGAAAAATCATTTGATTGTACCAACGAGACGTATATGATTGAAGGCATTTTGGTTAAATCAAACAAGAATTTTTAGTTATCATGATAAGACTCGATTTTTTTATAACTAGAACGTTTAACAGATTTTACTATAAGGATTTGATTAATATTTTCTGGTTGGATTTATAAAATTTCTTGTTACATTAATTTCTTTGCTTGCTTCTTAACTCGTAATCAATATTTGCCATAAAATATATATAAAGAACTAGTATTGACATTAAATCCAAAGTATATATTTTTTTCTTACGAGCAGTAGTGCCAGAAAGGGGACGCTAGCTCTCTGATTGCGTGTGTTTGAGCTGCATCCTCTTCTTGCATCACTGCTTATCAGTTTCTAACAAACTGAATTTAAAATAATTGATTCAATAATCTGGTTTGAATTTATCCAATAATCTTGTTGGAATTCAGAATATTAAACAGACTTTTGAGATTGGATGGAAAAAATTTTAGACGACTTGTGCTGCCGAGTTTAGTATCATTAACCAGAAAATTTGGTAAATTTAGCAGGAAGAAATTAATCA